GAGAGAGAGAGAGAGAGAGAGAGAGAGAGAGAGAGAGAGAGAGAGAGAGAGAGAGAGAGAGAGAGAGAGAGAGAGGAGGTGTGGGAGGGTGGGGCACAATAAGTTGAATAAAAACCCAAAATAATAGAATACGCCTAGGCTACTGTAACTGTTGAAGATACCCGCCCCCTGTCGAAGTTGCCCCATGTAGGTGTCGAATTTGCACTAACCCCTGTCAAAGTTGCCCTAAGTGAAGGTATGCCTCAAAATTGTAATCGTTGAAAATTTGGAATTAATGCAAAAATAGAGTAAAGAGCATAATAATTAAGAAGTCAAGAAGTAGAATGGCTGCTTTACACAATGGGACCAAGATGGTCTGTGTTCTTTCAAAAAGGCTGGAGCAGTATCGGTTACTTTTGCAGCACTACACGAACCTTTGCAGTTGCCTCAACCTACCCAAACGGAAGGACTTCCGTAATAATTACAGTAATAAGCGACCACCCCAACAAACACAATTTAAAGAAGAGACCTCCCGGTGATCTTGTAGTTCCGTTCGTTAAAGTCCACGATTCATTTGTTTACATCCAGAGAAGAAATCCAGAAGTCGTGATGACCAAATAGGCAACACAAAGAACAGGGATGCAACCTAACTGCAAAACATCAAACTATGGTAAAATTCAGGGGGGCATGCCTAGCCTACTCTTGACTCTTGGGGCCCAAACCGGCGAATAATAATTGGGGGGTGGGAACTGCCGAAAGAGCGCCATTCTTTGCTTGAATTTTGATTTTCTGGCTTAGTGTTTCCTTTCCATCTCACGCTTAGTTCACTCCTCAACAATTACCTGGCAATTCAGGGTCTCTGGCGTTCAGCTTTGGACTTTAACGAACGAAACTACAAAATCACAGACCTCTCTCCTACACATGCGACTACATGCGTGTTAACCGAGCTACGATTGGCTGAACCTGTGGGTCTCTGGCAATTCGCGGTTTCGGTCTCGCACCGTTGACCGCATGACCTTTTTCTCAGTCACAGCGGGTTGAGTCAAGTTGAGTGCTCATGGAAGAAGAAGAAGAAGAAGAAGAAGATGAAAAAGAAGAAGAAGAAGAAGAAGAAGAAGAAGAAGAAGAAGAAGAATGAGGAGGAGGAGGAGGAGGAGGAGGAGGAGGAGAGAGAGAAAGGGTGGTGAGAGTGACAGGGAGGGTGTCGTCGAGAGCGTCAAGAGTAGCCTACTGTATGCCTTAGTAAAATGTATTCATGGGTCACAGGTCCAGCCAATCGTAGCCCGGTTTATGTCCTGTGTGTAGTCGCATGTCTCTCCTACCCCTAACCCAAACGGTGCTTTTTCGGTAGTTCCCAACCCCCTTATAATTTGAGCCTAGATCTAGATCTAGATCTTACATCTAGATCTATAGACACCTGCCCTTGGCGCGACCGTACCCTGAGCGCAACCAGTTCCCCATTTTTCCTTCTCTGTGCAGCTCGTGTGCAATCTGTTTTATTAGAGTTACATGCCTTGTCTAGTTCCACTTTTGGTCAATCCTTTTCCAAGAACGTCAATCGTCTGCTAGTGCAGCAGTCGAGTTCGAAGTGAAAGGCTTATCAGAAACATTCTTCGAGAAGTTTTCTTCACTTACTAAACTAGAGTAGCTGGCCCAACCCGCGACCACTTGTCTCTGTTCCCTCTGTTATCAATAAGATAATTGTTTTCATCATGATTTGAAAAGGAAATGATTTTACTAACCCTTAAATGGTGTACTAACAACTTTCTTGCACCTGTCATATCTGTGCCCGCATGGTTGCACCCTGTTCCATTTGCGGTCGCGCTGAGGGCATGCGGTCGCGCCAAGGGCAGAGCATTAAACATGTTAAAATGCGAAATCTGAGAATGACGTTTTGGAATGATTGACGATATCACAGTATAAACCGGAAGTTGACACACTGAAGCGGCCCTGAACATGGATTGCCTATTTTGCTGACAGAGACCGCTGAGAAGCAAAATACGACAAGTGGTCGCGGGTTCGGCCAGGTACTCAAGATCTAGATCTAGATACTTTGATGCGCAGCGAGCTAAGATCAATCAAACCTAATGACTTAAAAAACATCAAACCCCCCACCATATTTTCATTAGGTCAGGGGGGCAAGCCCCCTTGAAACACCCCTACTCTTGGGGCCAAAACCGACGAATAAACAATTGCAGGGTAGGAACTACCGAAAAAGCGCCACCCAACAAGCCAAACCCTACCCCTATCTACTCTGTCTCATTGTGGTCGATCGTTACGAAAGTCCTCCCATATAAACTACTACTGTTACCTTAGTCCTGTACCAATCACGTAGGCCTCTAGATCTATGCCTATAATAAAGAGTCCAGAGTTGAGTCCGAGTCTCAGTCAGGCAGTCTGGCGCGTGTGACGTGTGGTGAGTGTGGTGAGTGTGGTGAGTGATGGAGGGAGGGAGAGCGGGAGCTGCTAAATAAAAGTTTAGGCTAAAGTTTCATGACTTGAAATCTTGCCTTTATTTTTCAAAAAGAAGATTGCACTAGATCTAGATCTATATCCTGCTCTTCCTCCCGAGCCACACTTGACACTCAGCGCTCAGTTCAAAACTCGAAACTAAACACGTCAAATCAAAGGGAATGTTTGCATGATTGTTTTCCCCAGTTACAACTTCCACTTCCCGTAACGTGAAGTCGTACTTTATCCATTTCACAATTTTGATTAATAATATTATGTTGGTCTTCAGACTTCAGAGAAGACGTGACGTGTGAAACTCCCCCCC